GAAGGGAATGACTACATATTTGAAATCACAGGTAGGTAATTTTCTCTTTTTCATGTAGCTACTTCAAATCTTTTTTGGAAAGAAGTGGGGTTTAAATGAAAAATACTATTATTTTCTGTTATATAGTCCAAGAGCAAGTTTTACATGGTCATGGCAAAGCATATTCCATTTCCTGGGATAATTAAGGTACAGCAATAGAAAAGAGAAGTCTCCTGGTCATTCAAAAGCCTCGGCTTTGCCATTAGTTTCAATCTTCTCTTGCATAAGAGCTACTTGTTAGAGCAAAGAAATAACAAAATGGAATGATGTAAATGCAATTTTCTCCCTCTTCTGTCATCTGTTCCCTTATGGCAGAGGAGCTAAAGATGTAGAATTTTATCATCAGCCTATGAGTTAGAAAGATTGGGTTATGTTTCTAAAAAGTGCTGAAAAGCCATGACACTTTCTTCACAAATTAAGCAAAATGCCAGGATTCAATAATGCTCCCTGACATATAGGCCTGTTGTCCCTTTTGCCAGGCCTTTGTGATTTACATGTAATGGTTGTACTTTTTCCACTGATAAGGTGCAATGGCTAACCCTGGGATAATGGTTCCAGGCCTTACCCACCTCTTTCCCAATAAGGAGCCCAATATTTGGTGTTGGCTGTAACCAGTCTTAATTGAATCTTGTTTCAACTTTGATAGTGGGTAAAGCAATACAATATTCTCATTTTAGTTGATGAACTAGTTGGACTCTGTGCTTAAAATTATGGATTGTGAGTTTGTTTTGTGTGAAGTTTTATACTACTTCTAAGACTCTGTAAGCAGTAAGAATCAAGAACAGTGTTATAAATCAGATATGAATATTTATTTTTTTACTTTATTATCAAAGCTTATCTGTTCTTGATCTAGAAGTTTTGAAAGAGTTATCCCATAGGTCTGAAAACTCCTGAAAATAGACACCCAAGTCCTAGTTGTGTGAAGTATGTTTATGAGTGAGACAAGCTCAAGGTTCTCCTTGCCTTTTGTTTCTAAATGCTCATAATCGGGTGATGCAGGTAACATAATAGAGAGAATTGTGGTTCACTGCAACAACAACCAGGATTTCCAAGAATGGCTGGAACAGCTGTGCAGACTGATTAGAGGACCTGCCTCCTGCAGTTCGTTATCCAAGACATCATTGTCATCTTGTAGTGCTCATTCTGTAAGTAGCCCGTTTGTTCTGTCCAGGGGTTACTGAATCTCATCAAATTCTGCCTGCTGAGGACTTAAAAGAAGCAGTGAGCATGCCTTTAATCTTTGGGTAATCTATATTTGTAGGTTTTTTAGTACAGTTAAACCTCACTAATTCTAACTTCTGGAGAGAGGAGTATCTAAATTAATACAAAGGTTTACTTAGAGATGTGTGGTTTAGTTTGACCTTAACTTGGAGTACTAACTAACTGCTAGCAAAGTTTTTCTAACCAGAAGTCCTGCTGAGATGTCTTAATAATAAGATTTATATTAGTTAATAACTGTTATTCTTATATTAATAATGTGCTAAGTCAAAACACATAGTTTACCTTCATAAGTGTTTAAGCATCTCCACATAATCTCATTTATGTTATCACATTCACTGAGTAAACTTCAAGGGTAAACTTTTAACATTGCCTTCTTCCAAGTTATCATAAATTTTGCATTCATGTAACTTGAATTGATGAGATTTTATTGTACTTGCTGAGTGAGATCGAAGATATGCTGTGTTGTCTATTAACACTCAAACCTTTGATACTGAAATTCCCATTTTGAGCACTGTGTGTTGTGGTGGGAAGAACAAGGGCTTTGGCATCAGATCTGGGTCCAAATCTTGGCTTCACCAATTGGTAGCTAGTTACTTCACTTTGCTAAGGTTTGTCTTAGGTTGTTCTGATGAATGATCTATTTAAGCGTCTAATAGAGTGCCAAACACATGACTACACTAATTCAAAATTGACTGTTACTCCACTTTCCTCCCTTAGAGGGGGAAAAATGACTTCAATGAAATTGCAAAAGAGAGCAGGAGGACAGGATCATAGGATGTTGAGTCCATTTTGTGTTGCTCCTTAGAGACCCCATAACCTTGACTAGAAAGTACCAGTTCTCAAACTGGAGACATTTGTTTTCCCTTCTTTCCCTTTCTATGGCTGGCTTTGCTGATCCAATGAAGCTATTGTTGTTCTCTCACTGTGGGGCACAAGGTTGGGTTCAGATGGCAGAGTGCCAACATCTCATTGGACATTTTCCCAGTCTTTTAGTTCTACCGGACAGACTCGAGGACCCTTGGAGCCTCCTCAAATTATAAAACCATGGAGTTTAAGTTGTCTACGACCTGCACCTCCACTTAGACCATCAGCAGCTCTAGGTTATAAAGAGGTAATTTTGCTACATGTGGTATAAAATGCTTCTGACAAGCTAATTTTGTAGCTTATTACAAATTGTTCTATGGGAATATGCTTAGAATTTATGATAGGTGATACATGTTAGTCAATCTTGAATTGCTAGACTCGGTGATTTTTTTTTAAATTTCTTAATTTCTTAATTTTCTATTTCCCATTGTCCATCTACAAATATTTACTGACTATCAACAGGGTTTATGTGCACTGCCCGAATTTCCCTGGCCTCCTTCTGAAGTGCCTTCGGTTTACCTTTATGATGATATGATCATTTATAAGTTGGTAGTAATATACACACATCTCAAACAAGAGCCACTTCATTACGAGTTGAATTTCTAAATAAGCAGACCCAAATCTGCATTTTGGATTATTTTGATCTATTTAACCATATTAGTAGTCTTATGGGAGCAAGCCATGACTCGGATCTATGAAAGTCTGAACTATTTGCTGCAGTTGGAAAGGGAAAAGAATTTAATGAAAGGAATATCTTTTAAAAGGAGTCGTCTAAGCGACAACCTTAGAGGAAATTTGATATGTAGGTAGTGTGGGGATTTCAAGGTTTTTTTTTTTTTTTTCCCTCTCAAAGTTGCAGTCAGGAAATGTCAGTAACTGTGTGGAGTGTTACCTTTTCCATCCAGTGTTTCTTTTTCCCCCCCTAACCTGTTGCTCATCATTTCAGCTTTCAGAAAAGATCCTCATTTATTAGTAAATGTTCATTAAATAGGTCTTACTGAGTGAAGAATTAAGTTTGTGACAGTTGTGAGACACATCATAGAATTATGATGCAAAGGCAGCATATACTTCTATATCAAATGTGTGGTTTGATGAGTGATGCAGATTTAGCTGAATTTTGAGTTTGTTTTGATTTAAAATACTATGCTACTGTTTCAATTAATTGTTGCCTCAACTCTCAGTGTAGTGAAAAGTGGAACAATATTTAGACACTGGAGGATGTTTTTGATCCTTTCAACCCAACGTGATAGGAAAAATAATCCTTGAGCTGAATCTTTACTATGTGCCAGTAGTTAGAATTTGGCCAGGAAACAGTTCCATGGGTTTGTTTTTGGAAATTGACCTATGATACCTGCAATCATCCAATTTTCTTTGACTACCTAAACCAGAAGTGCCACTTCATAGTTATTATGTAGGTCCCCCTTTTAATGATGGATATTTCATAATTGTCTGTTACTAAATTCAAATTAAGGTGAACTTTGAATGGTAAAGTTGACTTAATCTTTCACAGAACTAATCCATTAAAACTAAGGCATGATCACTTTGTTTCTGCTGGGAGAAGGGGGTTATTAATAAATTCTTACTATGTGGTATATAATTTTAGTTATTTTCAGCATTTGTTATTCTGCACACAACTGTATTCCTTGGGCTTTTGCATGATGGTATTGCATCTGAAACTAATGTGGGAAACGTGATGATATTCTCTCTGTGTGATTTATGATAACACTAACATTTCAAATATTGTTTTAGAATTATTGATAAATGGATTTGGTCATTGTAACCATCGATCTCTCACGCTCATCTTCTCTTTCTTTACATATTCACTTTAGAGGATGTCTTATATCTTAAAGGTAAGGGTAGAACACTATCTTTGGCTTACAGTGACATCATAATGCTGTAACCTTTGATGAATGAAGCTTTCTTTTATGCTTGTTTTGTCCCTTGTTATTATTGGTGGCTAAAATATGAAGATGCAAATCTGACATGTAAGTACTTTCTTCAAAAAGCAGGCTCTTGTGAAATACATATGAAAATGTCATCTTATAATGCCTTTAATATGCCTGTTTTCCTGTTTTTTTTTAATGCTATGTTTTTCTATTTTTGTCATGTGAGTTTTTCATATCTGTTTATTCATATGGCAAAAGCGAATGCAATAATTTATATAATTCATATCTCTTTTACCTACTAATTAAAAATATAGCTTTATATATGTATATTTAAGCTCAGCTATAGGAAAGTTACTCCTAACCCAAAATTATTATCAGTAAGTCATTTATTTGGCTCTTCTCTCTGACCGCAGGGAAATTACTTAGTCCCTCTGCCTTAATTTTCCCATCTGACAAATAGAAATTAATATTCTTTGTTGTGGGACTGTTGCTAAGGAAAATTTATTTAAATAGTTTTCAAGCTCTTTGAAAAGTGGCATATACTATAATAGTAGTTACAATTGTTATGTAATTCCCTTTAAACTGTATTAGTGGGGAATATAAACCAAGTTAGTTAAACTTTTATTTCTCTAGGATTGACATCCATTACTTTTTCTGCAGATGGTACCCTAAAGGCATTTGGCCTCCTGAAGAATCTGCTGCATCTTCAGTAGGCACACTCCATTCTTATTTCCATCTCTCTGGCAATTGAGAGGATAATGTGTTTTATTTAACCTTTCAAAGTTTATTGGAGCCATTTTTGTGTCTAATATTAAATTTCGATGCACTCCTAACTGAGACTGTCAAAATAAGAGAGAGCCATTCTATTTAATTGCATTTGCTCTTGTTTTTGGAGGAGAATTTCAATTCATAAAGAAAACTCTGTTCTTGCAGGAGTCTAGTAAAAGCCCCAAAACAATGAAGAAGTTTCTTCATAAAAGAAAGACTGAAAGAAAGCCATCAGAGGAGGAATATGTGATTCGAAAAAGTATGTGTTTTGCACTTCCTGAAAGTTGATATGGATAAAATAACAGAAGAATTTTTTTAAAGCAGATAATTAGAGAAATTTTTCCTGGCATCATGTGTTACACAAAGTAAAAAAAAACACATGGAAAGTTTTGGTCACCTCTAAGATTTTTGAATAAACCACCTCCTGCTGCATTTCATATCATCTTAGGCAAATACCATCTGTATGATTTTTGTGATGAATATTTTGACCCATCTGATTTAGAACCACTAAAAGGACCATTTGTTGCAGATACATTTTTCCCTCTTAGTTTTTGATGCCTGCAATAATTTCCTCTACTGAGATAGACTAAATAGACCTGAAAACTGAAATCCTTCTGGAAATCTAATACTCTGTAATGTTCTCAGTTAGCCAAGGAATCACCCTGCTGACATGTAGATTTGTCTCACAAATGGGTGACAGAACTGTGTTTAAAAATCAAAAAATATAGTCTGGATAAAACTCTAGCTTCTTCATCCTCCATCCCCCACCCCACACTTAGGTATGCACATCAGCATGTTAACAGGATTCTGCCATCCAGTCATTTCAAGAATGAGTCAGAGGAGGATGAAGGAGGAGAGAGAATCAATGACTATGCTAGCTGGTTAGAACATGGGTGGGGTTAATGGGGAAAGCTTCCTAGAGAAGGTAAGCCTTGAAATTTGAAGAAGAGGAAGGATGTGGTGTATCGGATGAGAACTGAGGCTAGGATCAAACCCAGTGCTATAATTGTGGCCATGAAGAGAAAACTACAGGAATCCCCAATTTAGAGCTCTGGGTGGACTACTGACCCCAGAGCTCTATGGGGATATTGTCACTCTCACTCCATTATGAGGGTTTGACAGCTTTTCCTCCTGCCTTTCAGAAACACCACTGTTCACAGAAGGCAGTCCCCAGTGCTCTGCAACTTTTTGAGTGTCCAGAGGCATATATCTCTACGAAAAGTCATTATTATTTAAATTTCATAGGTACAGCTGCTCTGGAAGAAGACGCTCAGATTCTTAAAGTGATTGAAGCCTACTGTACCAGCGCAAACTTTCAACAAGGCCATAGCTCAAGTAGGTTTCCCCAAACCACTTTCTCTAATGAATAATGTTTCTTTTTCACTGCTCATTGCCTCTTATAAGAGACAAACAACTCACATGGGTTGCAGGGTGTGTAAAGCAGGTGACTTGATGCAGAGGAGCAGTGTAGGACTGCATCTTTCAGATAAGGTGGTTTTGGCTACCAAGTGGTTTGTTTACCCAGTTTCTTTTCACCCAGAGAGAGAGAGATGCAAGACTAAAAAAGTTGGAGGTGATAGAAATGAAAAAAAAATTTTTAAAGTCATTCTCCTTTGAAGTACGCAGATACCTTCACCAACACTAGTTAGGAATTAAAGAGCCCATAGAGTTCCTGTGTCTGTGAACTGATGCTAATCTCTTCTTATAGGCAGATTTGAAAAGGAAGTCAAAATACTATCTTTGATCAGCTGCATATTTAAGTGAACAGTGCTTCACCAAACTCATTTCAAAGTTGCTCTGAAAATCTGGAAATGTAGCTACCTAGCAGGGGCTGTTCGGAATGTATACAATTTATCAGGGAGATATTAGAAGAGGGTATTTCCCCGAACAACTTTCAGGCCACAAATTGAAAGCGAGATAGTTTTCTGAATCATCCTTGTGCTTTTTAAAAAGCCAGGTCAGTTATGTCTCTTGTCTTCCATTATTATAGACATTCAGGATATGTTGCGTGGGGTTTTGGCATCTGGGTAAGAAATAAGTTCTTCATCATTCTTCATGTTGGACAACCACTAACCCATCACTTGAGTGTGGAAAGGGATTACTTAGGTGGATTGCCTTGACATATGCTTTCAGAGTGACATTTCTCTAAGGCTGTTATGAGGAAAATGCTTGATGTGAAAGTTGACACATTTGACTGTGAAGAGGGGAATGTCACAACTTCTGCTTCACAGATAAAACCTGACTGTGGCTTTGGGCATGTCCAGCTCTTACAATAAGTTTTGCAGAGCCAGGAAAGGAAAGTGAGAGCAGTTTTTATCGTGAAAACTAGGAATGAGATGGGGACAAGAAGACACCACAGGAAACAGCCCTCATATAGTAAAATCTGATCTCATCTCCTCCCCCACCCCACCTCCCTTCACATGAATAGAGTCTAGAGTCAATACATCTGCTCAGAGGTACAGGCAGGTGTTCTGGCCTAAAGAGTCACATTTTCGCCTCTCCTCCCTAGCCTACCTTTTGCATGTGGAAGATGTCTAGTGCAGCAAGCCTTTCAACATCTAGTGACCTACCACCCTCTATCCCTCTCCAGCCGGAAATCCAATTTCTCTAGAACTGACTGCTATTGTTTCTTGATGTATTTAGTTGGTTGGTCAGTTAGTCAGTCTGCTATTTACTCATTAAGTACCTATGAAGGGCTAGGCCTTATGGAAGGCAGAGACACAGCCACCTGAGGAAAGAGGAGGTGATCAAGTGAAGGCAATGAGTGTTCACAGCTTGAAGGAGCCTGGCTTAGAAGAGCGGAAACCAGAGGCTCAGGGAGACTGAAGATCAAGGGCTCGAGCTCCGGGAGGAAGGATCCAAAAGTTAGAAGGAGGTTGGAAGTGCGGGAGAGCTGTTTGTTCAGGTCCCATGTCTGTTCTATCACCTCTTCCAATCCCAGATCCTGGAGACAATCTGAGCAGAGAGAAGTCCTGTATCTTTCCCGCTGAAATGATAATCTCCCAACACTGATTCAACCCTTGATCAAAATGGTCTTACCTGACCCTACCTTACCTTATTAGACTGTAAAAAGAACAAATGGGAGTGAGTGATACTTCTGTAGCCCTTTAAGGACATTGTGTTCCAGTGCAGTGCTACTCTAAATTTACTAAAATTATATAACAGCACAGCATAGGATGTGGTGTGTCCTTCCCTGGAGATATGCAGAGACAGAATGATCATTAGTCAGTTTTTTGCTGTTGAGGAGGCAAAACAGAAAAAGATGGGGTCTTGGTTGAGGACAGGTATCAGAGTGGCCCTTTCACATTATTTCTCTGAGTATAAAATGCTCCCCTCCCCAAGACTGAATCAATATATTTAATAATTTAGTATTTCCTCACTTCAGAAAGATTTAGTCATTAAATGTTGAGTGACTCTTCTCTGGGTGCAAGGTTGCAAAATACTATCAACCAAGACCTTTCAATAACAATAGAAGAAAGGAACTAACACCTATAAATAGTCCTCACTAGTAACTCTTCCCTCTTGCAACCCTTGTTTGTAGGTGCTCGCAAGGATTCAGTTCCACAAGTCTTACTCCCCGAGGAAGAGAAACTCATCATTGAAGAAACCAGAAGCAACGGCCAGACCATCATTGAAGAAAAGTGAGTAGAGTAGGTTAAAATTTTTCTAATTTGTCTGGAGGCTGGAAAGAAGGTTCTGGCTGGGCAATGTGGCTTTGGCATAGCCTGCACTGGAGGACTACCCCTTCTCATCTGAGAATGTAGCCCTTTTTGCTGATTGTGTAATTGGGAGCCTCAGGAGGGCTGCCTCCCAGCAAACAGAAGAGGGAAGGAGAGGCACAGGGGGTGAAACTCTGTGGTGGCTGTCCCTGGAGCCCATTCCCCCATACAGTAAAGTACTGCAGGGTACACAGGAATGTCGCTCTGCGTGGCTTTAGGAGATGCCTGAGAAGGCCACAGAACCACTTTTCCTGCCCAGAGGGATATTTCTCACATTTATTGAGTCAGGCACTAGATTTACACCTACTTGATCTCATTTAAAATTCTACAGCAATCCAGTTAGATAAGCATGACTTTCACCACTTTTACAGATGAGGAAACAGGTTCAGGGAAATTATGTCCTTGGCCTACCTTTGCACAGTAGTGAGGGTGACCTAATGGAGGAAAATTAGGTCAAATAGCTTATGGATCATAAAATAAACACAAAGTAGCCAAATAATTCATTTGTTTAAACTTGAGTAATTTCTGAAGTCAGGCCTAAATTTGCATCAAACAGCACATTTCAAAGTGCTTGGCATAGTCATTGTACAGTACTTTTCCACCTAGTTTATTAAGTGATATAGCCAAATGGTAAAGCACTGGGGCTTATGAGAAGAACAACTCTGGTTCAACTCCAAATTCTGCTACTTGTTGGCCCTGTAATCTGGGGCAAGTTCCTTTACCTATCTGTGCCTCAGTTTCCTCATCTTTAAAATGGATATGATAATAATACTTTCAGAGTTGATGAAGGCTTAAATGGAATAAGTATAAAGGCTACCACATGGTGAACACTCAATAAATAATTATACTATGTATAGTTATAATA